TTTTTTTTAAAAGAAGTTTTTACAAAATATTAGCTTTCGAAGCACAAGATGCACCTGTAGTGATTTATCCTCAAAAGCGAAGACAGCTCAACTGCACCCAAGTTTAATACAAGACCTTGCAACATGTGACGTAAATTAGACATCACGGCAGTTTCTTCACTATCGGGAGTGTCTGCCGACGACGAAACAAAAAATGATGAAGCAGAAAGACGGTATATAAGATCATGATTAGAACGAAGGAAGCGTAGGACTATCTGCGAGCACGCTGCCCTGGTAGAAACCAAACGCAACTAAATGAAAATATAGCTTAATTAGCTATTATTGATATATTCATAACTGCGTAATGCGGAAGAAAAGAACTCCATCAAGAAAAAAAAAAAGTTGAAATGTTTGAGAGTGCAGCAAATTAGTGAAGAAGCAGACCACTTACTAAAAACCTAAGCATCGGCTCAAATAACGCAGAATATTTGCATGAAGACAAATCTTCTCCCTCAATCAATCCTCCCAGAGTTTCTATGACACTATGCAAACACGTTTTGGGGGTCCCATTTACTCCTAAAATTGGAGTTACGCAACGCGTCTTAGCAAAAATAACGTGTTTTCAAATCTAAACCTAAAGGATTTGGAAAGTATTACAATATATGATAATCTAACATACATAAAACGGTAATCAAATCGCGCTGAGACTACCGAGAGAGGAAAACCGAAATGAAGAAAAAAAGTAATATAGTTTTAAAAATGAGTAACAACCTGGGTTTTCTATTGTCGTTTCAGCAAGATTTGTCATTTCAAACCCGCACAACATATACGCAATATTGGATCCACAAGGCTCAATTTCAACAGCAGCCGTACACATCTCAACTAAAAGTCTTGCCGTCTCACCACGAACTCTTTCAACATTCAAAGTCTCCACTTCTGAATAAAATTTAAATACATATAAGAGTTATGCCCAGGTTCAGACGTGCAAAACAACTGTGAATTAGCCATGAAAAATTAAAGTACTTTGGTAAAAAACGCAGCATTCACAAGTAAGAAACTTCAGACCCAAAAAGCAGTCTAAGAACCTAACAAATGCTGTTCCTAGCACTTTAAGCACGAACTAAAACGCTACGAGGAAAACTCACTGGAAGAAACAAGAGGATCTAATGCTGAGACGGACAAACTGGAAACTTTAGAAGAAAGTGCTCTTGAAGCACCACACATAAGATCCATGTAAATAGGCGAAAGGGACTGAACAAGACGTAACTGAAGTGAAGGACGGGTACAACTAAGTTCTCTTAAAATTGAAGTCGCCCGATACGCATGTCTTGGCAAAATTTCTGCCTAAACTTAAAATAAAAAAGAAAAACGAACGAGTAAATTCTGCAGACGTACACAAAAAAGAGAGAAAGGCAAATACAGAAAGCATAATTCAGAGTTCTATGTGGCAAATATATCTAAATGCAAAAGAGCGAAAAATAATACATGGGCAATGTAAGAGGCAATCACTGCTATACAAGGCGTCTGATGTCTTCTCGGAACGGCACTCAACAGAAGCGAATCGAGCGATGCAACAATAAAATTTGAATTGGACGCCCTTATTGCATCAACAAGTGTAGCATGACGGGAAATACATACGTCCATTAACCTTAGAATCGATAATGCAGCTGCTTCTCGTTTTCTACAACGTGGAGAATAATCGGCCATCCTTTCTGCTCCTTCCAAGAGCACCATGATTAGCTGAAATACGATGATTTACCCACTTATTTACTAACCGATCATGTGAAGACCAAACTGTTACCTTCTAGAGCACTAACTATCAAGAAATGTCACAAGATTATAAGAAAATTGAAGTATTAAAACAAGTTTATGGAAATTGTCAAAAATCATCTCATTTACAACACTTACTGAC